GCTCTGTGCTGACAGCTCAGGATTTGTGCTTTGGATTCTGTGTCTCCCTCTCTCTCTCTGCCCCTCCTGCTCTCATACTCCTCTCTCTCTCTCTCTCTCTCTCTCTCCCCCCCCAGAAAAGAAACATTAAAAAAATAAAAAAAAATTTTTTTTAGTGTTTATTCATTTTCCCCAGGTGCCCCAGGATGCTGTGATTTCTTTAAAAAAAAATTTTTTTTTAGAGGCACCTGGGTGGCTCAGTTGGTTAAGCGTCCAACTTCGGCTCAAGTCATGATCTCTCAGTTTGTGTGTTCAAGCGTAGCATCGGGCTCTGTGCTGACATCTCTGAGCCTGGATCCTGCTTCAGAGTCTATGTCTCCCTCTCTCTGCCTCTCAACTGCTCATGCTCTGTCTCTCTTTCAAAAAGAAACATTAAAAAAAATTTTTTAATGTTCATTTTCCCCAGGCGCCCCAGGATGCTGTGATTTCTTACACTGACAGAGGCTCAGAGCCTGGTGAGACCACAGAAAAGCCTTTGTACAACAGCATGAAGACACGTGGAGCCGCTCAAGCCTGTCATCTGGAGCCCATCCCCTTTCAGGGAAGCACCAGGCATCTCCCCACGGCCCCACCACCCTGTCCCTCGCTCCTGGCAGGAGGGGAGATGCCTTCTACAAGAGGCACTCTGGAAGTGTGCCATCACCTCCTCACACTCCAGTCCAGCCGCTGCCCCCAGGCACTGCCTGGTACCTCTTTCCCAGGGGTCAAGGCCCCTCCCCAAATGTTTCACTTTAAAGCAAGAACAACTTACTCACTAACAGGGTCCAGCTCCTTATCTTTTTCCTCTTTCCGTTTCCCGCCTCCTTCCCCTCCATTTGGCCCAATCCTTGGCCTAAATGCTTAGGAAATCCCAGGTGACTCATCTGGCATGACGTGTAACAACAGGAACATCACCTGCTCACATCCCTTCCCTGCAAGCCAGAGCCTGCCTCTGACGAGAAACTGAGCTGGCTCTCAGTCACTCACTCCTCCGGGCTCCTCCCCGTGGAGGGAGCCACAGTTTCTTGCCTGGATGTGGGGAGGAAGTGAGGAGGGGCCAGACGTCCTCTGCTTTCTCTCTTCCCGCATAATTCCTATGCAGGAAACAATCAGATGTCCTGAGATGTCCCCCATCCTTCCCAGCGGTCATCTCGCCTTCTATTTGCCCTGCACCCACCTCTGACCACCTTCGGCCCCCACCCCTCTCCTGAACTCCCCGTGTCACCTCAAGGCCTCTCCTTACGCCTGCCCACTGGCCTCCTCCTGGCTGCTGGCCGGGCCCAGCCCTCCAACCTGACCCTCAGTCTCCTACCCTCCCTCCTCCCTCCTGGAGGGGCCCACCTCAACCCCTCTCTGGCCTTATTTCCTTCTTGAGTTGCCTTTCCTCCACTCCCAGGACTTCAGCCGAACCTTCGCCAGTGTTTCCGGGGTGCCAGGCTACAGAGACGGCTGATGGGTTGTAAGAGCAAAATTCTGAAAGCGGTTGGATCCGTGGGCAAAATGTTCAACTCAACAGGCCTCCCTTCTGCAGGGCTGCTCAGAGGCCTTACCATGTGAGCGCCCTGGAGGCCCGGGGTGGGGGGGCTACAGCGCAGGCTTTCCAAACTCAAGTGATGACAAAACCCTGCCTCTCCAACTCCGCTTTGCGAAGGGCTGCCACCCAGGCTGATGGCTTCCAAATCCGGCCCCGACCTCTCTCCCGACTGCCTGGCGGCCTCCTGGACACAGTTAAGCACAGGCAACTCACTATCATCTTCCAGCACGAGCCCATCCCATCTCCCGGGTATCCGGTCTCTTCCCAGTTAGAGCTGGCTGAGGAGCACTTGCTGATTCAGGCCCACGGCCCCTCTCAACGCCCCTTCCAGCCCCCACCACCGTTTCTCCCAAGCGTTTCATCTCAGCCTCCTTCAGTTTAACAGCTTCCCAAGGTGTTTCGTTTTGTTTTAGTTTTGGGGTTTTGTTTTTTCCTTTGGCCACCAGCCATTTCCCTTAGACTTTAAATTGCATACAATGGTCAGATTAATCTTTAGGAAGCAGTCAGCAGATAACCAACCACTACTCCCTCAAAGCCTTCATTCTGTATGCAAGAAGGGAATCAGTAAGTGAGGCATTCAGGGCTCTTTTCTCAGTGCCCCCAGGAGCCCCTCAGCCTCATCTGCCCCCCTTAGCCCCACCAACCACAACACCAGCCACCCTCTGAGCTCTGCCTGCCCTTTCATGCCCTTCCCTCTATCAGCAATGTCCTTCCCTCCTCATCCTCACAGTACCCCGCCTGTGCTTCCAGGTCCCGCTCGCACACAACCACAGATCCTACCCCATCTGGCACTTTCCTCCTTGGCCTACACTGTTCCACTCCGGTGCCTGCTCCCTTGGCTCCCAGCACAGTGCATCTCGGGCAGACGCAGACCCCTCCAGCCTCGCCATCAGACCGTACACGCCCACGTGTCCTTCCCAGCTCCGGACCCCCAGCACCTGTACTTTTTAGGAACTCGGCAAAGCTGCCTGCATGAGTTAATTACACAGGATGCTGGACGCCCTGGAGGCGTGTCCCCACTGGAATGCCATCAATACCTCCTTTGAGCCCTCAGGCTGCTTCAGCTGCACCTACATCTTGTTTGATAATTAAACTGATGCCCGCCTTATTTATCCCTACGAGGCCATAAGCATCTTGATGGCAGGAGCCATGATTCCTCTTCAAATCTCCCCACCTGGACTGGTACTCAACTGTCTGGCAGGAAGTGTCTGGGGAATCAGTGAGGAAGGGAGAGGCAGGCAGGCAGGCCTCCCACTCAGGGTCCTCAATCTGCTAACTGCCCTCAACTACAAGTTAATAAGTGCCCTTCTGGAGCCTCATTCTTCTGAGCAGGACATGGTGACGGGGGAGCGGGTCCTGCCACAGATGAGCACATGCTCTGGGTCCCAAGACTCTCGGTCACTAACTGTGGGACTTGGCATGAGTTAGGTAGCCAGTCTGTTTCTTGGCTTCCTAATCAGGAAAGTGAAAAATTCTAACACCGCTACATTACACACTTGTTATGAAGACTGAGTTCACCCACAGGAAGCACTCTGCACAATACTCAGTCAATAGTAAGTTCTCGAGAAAGGTTTGCCATCGTCATCGCCATCATCCATCTCCTTCCAGCTAGGATGCCAGGAGCCTGTAAAATTTTGGGGGTAGGGATGAAGCCAGCAGTTTTGAATGGGTGAAGCTAGGGGTGGGAGTGGGGTACCAGGGCTGGGCAAGCAGAGAGGAAACACTGGTGTCTCACTGTGCGTCCTAACCCCGACTCATCGGCTGACTCGTTGCCCTGTTCAGGGGTTCCCAGCAGACTCTCTGCCCACCAGGCTTGAGGGCCATTCCTTCCTTTGGAACAAATGCCCTAAGTATCCTCAACCCTCCGACAAGGGGCCTGAGGAATGGGGCAGCAGGGAGGGAGAATTGAGTCCATGGGACACCTGGGCCTCAGGTCCAAGATCAAAAACCATCCTGGTCCACACAATCTAGAAAGGAATTCACAGCAGGCTACCACTTGGGCCGACTTTCATTCTGAACCATGGAGTCAGGCAGTGTGGCCTCAAAGGCAAAGGCCTGCCCCAGAGTCTGTCAACTGACAGGGCTGCCTTGGCCACAGATGGGAAAATGGCTCAGAAACTGAATCTAAACCAGCCAACTTCAAAAGCTGGAAACCCAGAGTCAAGTTCACAAGGCTGGCCTTTCATTTTTCAAGTGTTAACCCAGCTTCCAGCCTTCAGAGTTTGTTTTTAATAACTCAATTGGGCCTCTCACATCAGGAATTTGACCTTCCCTCTGCAAAGCCCAACACGCACAGTGATATTATTTTCCAAACATGTTAAAACAAATTCCCCCAAAGTCGCATCTCACACTGCCCACTCGTCAGCCTGTATGAAAGGGGTTTCAGGCCTCTCCCGATGTTCCAAATGATTTTCTTCATCTGGTGCTATCAGTCAAGGACTGGAAGCAAACTGGGAACAAAAGCCAGGGCATTCCCCTCTGATTCGCCGAGCTTGGACATTAACGCTTTCTCTTCCTGAGCCACAAATTGAACTCCAGCAGTAAAGGCCAAAACAAGATCAAACTCACATTTTTCTAAGACGACCAGACCAGCACATAAAAAAAATTCCCCTCAATAAAAACGGAATGGATCTTTCATGTGTTCCGAGCCCTGCAGCAAGGCCCCATGCTGGAGCGGAAACGCGTTCCTGGAGTAGAGAAGTGAATCTCAGAACCACCCACCCCGAAATCCAACACCTGATGGATGGACACGGAAGTGATGGGCCACGCACGAACATCATGAGACAATGCAAGATGATAAAGGAGGCACCTAAATATAGAAATATATTTACAAACTAACAAAACAAAAACAGATGGACACCGTGACCTCAATTGGCAAGGCACAAATATATATGCCTGACCCACAAACATCAGAAGGACCGTGACCAAAGCAAACCCGTGTGTGCGGGTGGGGAATTATGGGCAATTTGCTTCCCCCGCCCCCCAATTTCCTTGTATCTTGCTGTTTTAACTTAAAAGCGCATAATTGTAAGCTGAAATACTCATATAAAATCCAAAGACGTGGATCCTGCAACAAATCGACAGAAGTTGGGCCGGGGGATGGTGGAGGCCAGAGTCTGCACGGCGACCCGTGGCTTTGCGTCAAACCGCACACGTACGCTTGGCTGACCACAGAGCCTCGCCTCCTGAGCACAAGCGGTGGGGGGGTTTCATTCACTCACATCTGGCTGCCCCCCGGGGGAAATACAAACCCGGCGCATTGCCTTTCCTGCTGCTGCTGTTCTCAGGTTTCCCCATTCTGTGGGTGACCCCAGAATCGCTGTAACCAGAAACCTGATGGGCTGAGCTGATGGTGAGCGGGGGCGGGGAGAGCCTCATCCCCATGTCGGCCACCAGCCAGGGCTGCAGCTAGATGGGGAGACAGTCCTATGGATGAGGAGATACTTACCCAAGTTGTTATGTGCTGGGGACATCGGATTCGGGGATAGGTTTGGAGAACCTGTGAGGCGAGACAGAGCCATGAGAACGAATAGAACATTCCCGGCTTGGAGATCTAAACTACCCAACACGTGCATCAAGTTGGGGCAGCTCAACACAGCAGAGAACCCTGAGCTGAGCCTCCGAAGCCCAGGAGGAGGTTGGAACCAGGTCCCTGCTCTGCTTTCTCTCCCTGCGCCACAGTCTTCAGCTGAGGAACAAAGAGATGAGCAGATAATCTCAGAGGTCTCTCCCAAGACTTTATGGTGTGAGGATCCGGACCAAGCCCGCAGCACAGGGCACAGAGCTCCCTGGAAACTACGGCCCTAGGAGAATGAGGCGGATGGAAGGCCCTCTCCCCAGCCTCGCTCCAAGGCCCAGGCAGCAAAGGCTCCCCCTTCTGCACAGGTAGGACTGCAGAGGGTGCAGAGGGTGCCCAGAGGGTGCCTGCAAATACCAATCCAGCCCTTTCCCCACATCTCAGGACACCCACTCAGCGGCCTCAGAAATCCTACAACTATACAACTACGCTGACGTTTGATGCAACACATGAGGCTGCTCGTGGGAACGTGTCCAAACCTACCCAATTCTTCCTGCCCGGCTACCTTCCCTCCAGCCTCACTCTCAGGAAAAAAACAAAACCACATGGGCATCCACCTTTAAAAAACAAAACAAAACAAAACAAAAAAAACAACAACAACAAAACCCAGACGGTGTCCTTCCACAAGCCAACTTGGCTCATCCCTTTGTCCCTGGACTCAGAGGGCTGCAGTTATATCTGTAGGAACAGCCCTGTGGGATGGGCGCACAGGTGCCTTGCTTATGGGGGTCTGTCCCCAACTCAGCCGTAACCTCGAGGGTGAGGGATGAGCCATAGGCTTCTCTTCCTCCCCACAGGACCCTACCCATCGGGGGATGTGGAGGAGTCCCAGAAGAGGGAGAGCTTCCAAACTGGCCACGGAGCCCAGGCGTGCCACCAATGTATTAGCGATGGGATTCCAGCAGAGTGGTCTAACCTCTTCGAGCCTTGATTTTTATTTCCCTTCAGGTGTAAAATGGGGCTAATACCATCTGTTGCGTGCTCTGTAGAAATGAAGTGTGATCGTGTGCATACAAATGGCTGCACCATGGCTGGCACACAGCAGGCACTCAATAAATGCTGGTTTCCTGTTTTGTGGCAGCCCAAGTCGAGAAGGCCCAGGAAGGCCGTGGGACCATCTCATTGGTCTGGAAGGACACGTGTGCATGTTAGGGGAGACCCAAGGCCTTGGGACGAGGGGGTCCTCAGACCCCAACCAAGAGACACAATCACATCCCAGCTGGCCGAGGAGCAGCTGGGCTGGTTTCTAAATGGACAACTTGGAGTGAAGAGCAGAGGAGCAGCAGGAGACCCCCCCCACCGACTGGTCGGGGGTCCACAAAGCCCAATGTCCACAGCAGAGCCCTGCAAGTACGCTGTCATAACTAGGTAATGACGCTGTCCCTGCAGCAGAGGGAATGGGGCACAGAGGAGGACAGGGCGGGGTGGAGGAAGCGAGCCCTGAGGGTGGGAAGGTGCCTGGCTGCTCGTTCTGTACTCGGACCCTCTCCTTTGGTCCTGCTTGGACGGTGCTAATTGTTCTACAAACAGGAAGAGCAGGGAGGGAAGAGCAAAGGAGAGTTCAAAGCAATGCTGCATCCAGAGAGTCGCTGCTTGGCTTCGCTGGCCTGCCTTCTGCACCGCCCCCCAGAGCTGCAGCCTTGCAGCGGCCACTTGGCATCGGGGACGGGGAGGCCTGGGACGCACCGCTGCCAGGGTCACGCTGTCAGCCACTCGCGGGGTGGGTGCCACACCCCAAAGCGCCACGACACCCAGGCTGGGTATCGAGCAGCCACGTCCGCAGTGAACACGCAGGTCTCCCTTGTGCCTCTTTCAGGACCTGCACACTGTCTTTCAGGCCGCAGCTAGTGGCTCCGTGGGGACGAGGCATGCCCGTGATCTTCGGGACGGAGCATCTGCTCGGCCCCCTCCTCCTCCTCAGCCAGCCACACACGGCGCTGTGCACATTCTATGTGGCGGCTGGGGTTCAATTCAAGGAGCCGCTGGTTTGGAGCCAATTTGGTCCCGTAACAAATGACGCGGGAACATCTGGAGACACTGGGCTGGGCCCCTCGTGGCAGGAATACATAGATCATGTTCAGTCACTATACAAAAATAGATGCTTCAGGGGCCTCTGCTGGCAAAGAGCCTGCCAGCCTCCATTCAGGCTCTCCTCCTCCTGAGCTCTTGCAGGTGCTCAAGCCCACCCACCACCCCACTGCCACGCTCTCACTGGGGCAGAGATTCTGCTCAAAGCCTGCGGTGGCTCCCGGCCACAGTGAAACCCTTAGTGACACTCCTCTGGTCTCTCCCCGCTTGCCAGCCACACAGAGCTTTCACTGTCCCCAGAAGGCACCAGGCTGTCCTGCCCATGCCCCCCACGACCCCAACTGGCATACCCTTTGCCTGATGGCTTGGTCAACATCCACCCGTCCCTAAGACTCGACTCAAGGAAAGCCTACACTGTGAGCTGCTGCTCCACTCCCAACGCCTCCTCCCCAGGCCGGTTAAGTGGCCATTCCCTGCACCCGCTGCCACGTGGCATCCTCCATCAGGGCAGATAGGAGACAGCACAGTAGCCCTGGTCGTCTTCCTCACAAACCGAGCAGCTCAGGCTCCTCCTCTATCCCCAGCACCTGGCACACAGTGGTTGCTCTATAAATGCCGGGTAGAGGGAGGGAGGGCGGGCAGGCACTCAACGAGGATTAAGACTCTGACCTGCGTCCATGCTGTGGTTCATCTGGTGGTCACTGGTCTCTCCATCTTCACTCAGGTAGCCAGGGGGTGGGGTTTCTGGGAATCAGAAGGAAGGTGGTTCAGTACAGGACCCGGTGTGGACACACCTGCTGCAATCCCGTCACACGTCCATACCACTCTGCCAGCAGCAGGTGCCGGAGGCGCCCTGGGCCTCTGAGCAAGGGCACCAGCCCCCTTGACCCCCATCTCCTCGGCTGGGTTGGGATCACCTTTGTCCATGCCGTCCTGACTCCCAAGACTGAACTGCCTGTTCCTAGAGCCTCTGCCAGGCTAACTTCTTCACGCCCTAGAAGGTCAAGTGTAAGCCCATCCCTCCGGGGAGGCTGAGGACTTGCTTCAGCCTCGCCCACCTCTGTCCTCTGAAGGGCAGCTGCCTCACGCTGCTCTTTGGCTCTGCACGGACACCCTGTTCTTTGTCGCCACTTTAGGGGACATCTTGGCTTCCCCAGTGGGCTTCAAGTTCAATGGCAGCAGCAATCATGATCTGTTTCTCTGAAGGACCCCAGACGGTGACTTAGCTCTCTAAGGTTTGCTCAGTGAACACAGTGACCTACCCCTAGGGGCCAGCGTCCCCCCTGTGAAGGACCTGGAAGAGGCTGCGTCTGTAAAGGGGTCTCTCTGTAGGCCCTGCCCCACTCACAGGCCTCCGATCAACCTCAGCGCAGTGAACTCACTCAGGGTGAGAGGCTTGTCCAAGTCAGAGAGCTCTGAAAGGCAGGCAGGATTCCTGCCGCTGTGACCAGCCCAAGCTCGGCCAAGCAGTTTTCCTGGACGCCCCAAGTGCTGGTGATTCACACGTTATTTGCATGTAAATGAGGGGCTTCTAAAAACATCTGCACTCTGACAGCTGAGCCCGCTTCTCCCCGTGCAGTCGTGCAGTTGGGCAAAACCCCCGCTTGGGCCTCAGCTCCCACCCAGGCTGAAGCCCCCACCAGGCTTACTTACTGAAAGACCATTCTGCGCACCGGCTGCCCGGCCCTCGGCTCCCCCACCGCTCTGCAGGCCCCCAGACCGTCGGGGATCCTGCCCAAACTCCAGCCTCGGCCGTGAGGGCGGTGAGAGAAACACAGCGTTGCTATTTCCGCTTCCAAAATAAATGACGGCACCGAGGCCGGGCGGAAGGGTCACGCCGCCGCTCCTCCGTGCCAAGAAAAGCATCATTACTGAGCGGGGAGCCAAGGCCACGGGTCCTCTCCCAACGGGTGTGCGGTTCTGAGTCAGGGGCCCTCGGGCCAGCGCCGTGTGCGGAGGGGGGACGGGGCAGCCACGGACGGCCAAGAGAGCCGCAGGGAGGCTGGTGTGAGGGCTGCCGGTGCCCCTGCATGCCCCCACGCACCTCTGCACGCCCGGGCGCCTACCTGGAATATTGCTCTGGGGCTCGATGCCCGCGGGGAAGTTAGTGTTTTCGGGGATGGAATGGCTGTAGTCATCCAGCGGGGGGAACTCGGCCGGGATCTCCGTGTGGCGTGGCACCAGCACAGGAGGTAGAACTGTCCAGAAGAGCAGAGGCGGATGGGCGTCAAGGCCAGGCTGGCACCAGAGCCCTCCAAGCGCCACACCCTCCCCACCCCCCCACATGGAAAGGGAAGGGGAAGAAGAGGCAGGGAGGGGATGGAGAGGACACGCAGGGAGCCGCAGACCCCAGGGAGAGGGTGAGACGCTGCCTACCTGGGGTCTCTACCCTCTGATAGTGGTAGGGATTCACGCAGACCTCGTCCTTCTTCATGTTGAAGGCGAACTCACACAGCTCCATGGCCCGCAGCTCATGGTGGCTGTGGAGGTCGGGCCATCGCCACAGGCGGCAGTAGATGACATGGGGGAGCCCCTTCCGGTGGGACACCTGCAGTCGGCCATCCAGGGACCTGCAGGGATGGGGAGGGAGGGAAAGCAACAGTGAGGTGGATTTGGCTTGCCTTCTCCCTGCGACTGAGCCTGCTGGCAGAGCCTCAGGGCACTCTCCCCTCTCTTCATTTCTCTGAGCCCCAAGGGGCCTGGAGATCAGAGAATCTCTGTCAGGGCTGGCAGGGATCCCAGGTGGGGAACATAGAGGTCCCCCAAGAAGGCCAAAGGCCTCCCCGGCTTGGCAGGGGGGACCCTGACTACACCAGGCCCTAGAGTGAGTCCTCCCAGCCCTTAACCCCCCATAGGAAGGCAATGGCGCTTGAATCAGGCTCTGAAAAGGTCCACGGGCTGGGCCGTGTGCAGAGGGGGCCAGGGCTGAGCAAGAACACTTGTCTTCAGGTCCGTGCCCGTATGAGCCACGGGGATGCTGTGAAGTGTCAAAGTCAGGCCGCGTCTAACCCCTCCCAACACTCACGCAGCAAATCCCCCACACGTCAGAAAGCAAGAAGGGTCCCTCCTCCTTTTGGCTGGCATTTGTGATGAGGCAGGGAGGGAAAGAGAGTAATTAAAGGGAATTTTGAGCTGTAAGACTCTACACTGCCAATCTCGCAGGAACCGCTTTCAGTTTGAGGGCCGTCTGCAGGCGTCACCTGGGTGTCACGGTCCACACTGCGCTCCTGGTTCAGAGCGCAGGCCTGAGGCGTGGCGCATACGCTCAGCGGGCACGGAGCCGCAGCCCCACACCAGGCTCAGTTCTGCACCCGTCCCCAGCCTGGCTGGGCCAAACACCACTGCCAACGACAGCGTCCTGTCCCTGCTCAGACAAGGCCTTCTGTGGTGACCTGGCCTCTGAGCAGCTGTGACCTGGTGTCCTCACCTCTCAGGCCAGGCCAAAGTGTGGTCCCTGGACAAGCAGCACGGGTCCTCGGGCATTTGCTAGAAAGGAAGAATCTCAGAGGCTGCCCCAACCTTCTAAGTCAGAACCTTCCTCTTTTTTTTTTTTTTTTTTTTTTTTTACCCCTTCATAGTTTATTGTCAAGTTGGTTTCCATACAAGAACCTTCCTCTTGATAAAACCTCCAGGTGATCCGCATGACGAGAAAGGTGGAGCAGTGCAACAGGATGGCACAGCTGGGAACTCAGCAAGGCACCATCCGCCGAGAGTAAGGTGGGGAGGTAGAAGGCTCCTGAAGGTGACGTCCAGTCTCAGGCAGGGGAGGAGACCCCCTTCACACTGGCCTCTATCTAACAGATATTTTTACGAGCTCCTACTATTGTGTGATGCTAGAGACACAGGGGTGAGGAATCAGAGGTCACAGTGATTTTTACGAGCTCCTACTATTGTGTGATGCTAGAGACACAGGGGTGAGGAATCAGAGGTCACAGTGTTTCACTGGGACCGCAGAGTGCTCCCAGCTCCTCCAGTCCAATGGACAAGACCAACAGTGATCCAACGATCACACGCAGCTACCAGGACAAACCATGTGAGTGTTGTGAAGGAAAAGCAGGGAACCACAAGAGAGTGTTTGGCCCTGGGGGCCTTGCTTTGCCGAAGGGCTGGAAGGGGCATCTCTGAGGAGGTGATGGTTGGCCTCAAAGTCTAAACGACAAGGGAGAACTAACCAGACCGGGGCAGGGGAGGAGGGCATTCCAAGTAGGGGGGTGAGCCTGGGCAAAGGCCCCGAAAAGGGTGGAAAATGTGGTAAGCGGGGAGAACAGAAGGGCCGGAGTGACTGGGGACCACAGAGGGAGAGGCCAGGGTATAAGACAAGGCAGGGAGGCGGGCAGACTAACTCTGCAGGGCCTTGGGAGCTATGATCGAAGGTTCCACCTTTTTCCTAAAAGCCATAGGAGTCCCTGAGATGTTGAAGTAGAGGGTGTGTGCATGTGTGTGCATGAAAATCCTGGCAGCGTGGACAAGTTTGGGGGCCGTGGGGGTGGAGACAGGTGCATGTGAATAAAGGGGTACACAATGGGGGACCACTCTCCCTACAAGAGGGCCCATTCTAGGACCCCACTGGCCAGTGGGTATGACTTTTCTTAATAGCTGGGGGTGGGGGACAGTGGAGAATCATTTGCAGGCTCTCCCTCCTCGCCCCACTCCAGGACTGAGGGCACCCATGTGCCTGAATAAACAGAATTTATGGGCACTCTGTGAGGGAGGCCTAGCCACATGCAACCAGGAGCACCAACCGAAGGAAAGAAATAGGAATCCAACCAAACTCTCTAAGCCACTGGCCTGGGAATAGGGAGGGAACAAAGGTCAGTGCAAACCTTGGTCACAGGGACTGACAGAGAGCGCTGACGAAGGGCAAGTCAAAGGATGTAATTACCTCCCTCCCATGGGGCCCTGGACCAAGGAACCCCTCCAGCCAAAAAATGGTAATTACCAGGCAGAACAAGAGAGGGGAGCCTGGACTCGTGCCTGAGGTAGAAAAGGAACACTACCCGATATGGAGTCATGTGGCCTGGGGTCAAGACAGGGTTCCCCTCTCCCAGCTGGGAGACACTGGGCGAGTCATGAGGTCTCTGGACCCTCAGCTACTTCCTCTGTAAGATGCAAACATTCCCCCCACCCCCTTCCCATAGCTCAGTCTCCTCTGGAGGTCAGCGAGCATTATTATTCCCCGTGACAGCAGCCCTGGATAAACCGGGGGTGGGGTGGGGGGTTCTAGAGCTGGGGAGGAGAGAAAAGGAGAGTGGGAAGTGATGAGCGGAGACAGAATTATTCAGCTGCTCCCATTTTCTCGCAGAGCCAATAAGCGCCCGCAGATGAGGAAAGCGGCCCCATTCACCTGTCAGTGTTTGACTAAAGGCCCGGCTAAGAGCCAGGGGGACACTATAGCAGCCTCCTCAGGGGGAGGCCCTGGAGAAAGGGTCAGGTGGGCAGCGAGGGAGCCCCCCCTCCCCCACCTGGTTGACCAAAGGGGGTGACCCCCTGGTCTTAAGAATAACAGTGACACAGGGCAAGAGCAGGGGCAGTGCAGGACAGCACGAGAGAAGGGTCTCCACTTGCGTGCAGCAGACAGCTCGAGACAGCGAGCAAAAGGCCAAGTTCCTGACAACTTGATACCCAGGCCTGAGCCTTTAGGAAGGGAAGGTGGAGGGGACAGGATGCTCTGAGCACTCCTGATAAGGCAAGACCCTCACACTCCAGCCCTAACATCCGAAAGCCCCGGAACCAGGACACCTCACGTGACAGAGACTGGACAGGACCCAGGAACTCACACCTGCTCAGGGACCGGCAAGGGGTGAAAGGGCACAGAGCAGGTGGAAACGGGCCTGCCATGTGAACACGCGGCTCTGGCACAATACAGGTGACTAAGGTCAAGGTCTGGGCGTGAGGCGGGTTGTAACATGTTCTTTATAGGTTTTTGCAGTTGAGGGGTGGGGAGGAGCGTCTAGGAGGACAGGTTTGTTGCATCCGTAGGTCAAGAACCTCAGTTGGCCAATTCCTCATTCAATCCTGTCTGCATCTCATGGGCTGTTTTCTCTTGAGGATAAAGTGCTTAGCTGTCTCCCTGAAGCATTATGTATAGGAGACTCCAGGCAAAGAGGAAGGAATGGGGAGAAATGAGGAGAGAAAGCAAAGGCGAAGGACTATGGGGGTAGGTAGAAGAGGGTGGTGGAGGGAAGGAAGAGAGGAGAAAGGGAGGGGTGAGGAATGGATAGAGGGGGGGAGGGAAGGCAGGAGGGAAGGGAGAGTAAGAAAAGTCCTTCCATCAAATACAACAACCTGAAAGGATGCGTCTCTTGTGCCCAAGATAACGAGAAGAACGCAGACATAGAAACGCGGCCAAATGGGAAGAGATATCAGAGGGGAGTGAGCTGAAACTAAGCACCTGTCAGAGGAAGCCAACAAAAGTGATTCTGTTTGTGCCTCAGAACCTGGGAAAGACTCAGGAATTGGAAGCACCATATACTTCTCAAGAGGGGGCCCAAACAGGGGCGCCTGGATGGCTTAGTTGGTTCAGCGTCTGACTTCGGCTCAGGTCATCATCTCACGGTTCATGGGTTCGAGGCCCGCGTCGGACTCTGTGCTGACAGCTAGCTCAGAGCCTGGAGGCTGTTTCAGATTCTGTGTCTCCCTCTCTCTCTGACCCTCCCCTGCTTACACTGTCTCTCTTTCTCTCAGAAATAAATAAAACAATAAAAAAAAAAAACAAAAAACAGAGGAGGCTCAAACAGCAGAACGGGTTGAAAGTCTACGGAAAAGGCAGCCAGATCAGCTCTCCACCCTGAGCCGCTGCAAACAGGGCCTCCCCAATCCTGCGAGACACAGGGCTGCTCTCTGCAGAAAATGAACCAGAGAGCGGGGCTCTGGATGGGGTCACCAGGGCAGAGCGAGGGTGAAGGTCAGACGAGGGCTGGAAACGGGATGTCGTGACTAACCTCCTGCTCACTCGGCACCCAGGCCTGTGACAGGCAGGCCCGGGCCCCCGACCCCCACCCTGTGGAGAAATTAAACAGCTCAGCCCGTAAGACATGCAATACTGACATCTGGGGAGCCTCCAACGAAAGAGCTGCCAGCTCACCCTATAGGGAGGCTTACCTGCCAACGCCTAACAGAGCATTCGATATGCCTTCTAGCACTTCGCTCTTACATATGAACGCACAGCCAGAACTCTCAGCCATTTAGAGAACGCCTCTAACAGAAGACACAGAGACAGAAATAAGGGGGTGGGAGGGGGGAGGAAGTCTCAGACAATACAGGGAGCAGAAAAACTTTCAAACAAAGTGAAACAAAAACTACTCTCAGGAAGAAAAAATAGTACAATCCTAAAACAGGAACATTCACAAACTATGAAAAAAAAAAACCTGCTGGAAATAAAAATTAATAGGAGTTAAAAATTCAGGAGAGACTTCTTGAGTTTTTTCAATTGGGTTTTTTTTTTTATTGTTCTAATGTTTTATTTATTTCTGAGAGGGAAAGAGAGAGAGAGAGAGAGAGAGAGAGAGAGAGAGAGAGCAGGGGAGGGGCAGAGAGGGAGGGAGACGCAGAATCCGAAGCAGCTCCAGGC